ATCAAGGCTGCAGACAGGGTCATCTCACTTTAGAGCAGTGCTCATTTTTTGCGTCGACATTTAAAAAAATACAAGAATTACACACTGCAGGCTGAGACCTCTCTCCAAATCACTATCTTTATTTGTAGAGGAACCCCCATCTATTGGCTCAAACTGGAAAGTAAAGGGAGAATGCAACATGGCAGCTGAGTCAAAGAACCCCCCCCCCCCCCCCCCCCCCCCCCCGGCCACAGTGACATCAGCAGCTGTGCAGTAAAGAGAATGGCGAACGTGTAAACAGTATGCTTATGTGGTCCGCACGTCTCTAAAAATAGTCCTGCTGCTTATGTTCTATGAGGCAAATTTACTGCAGCGTGATGTGCAAGCGGAGAACAAATATAATCTCAGTCACTGCACAAACAGTTCCTGTAATCCTGCTAAAGCCAAGGAGCCGTGCTGTTGGAGCTCCTTTCTAATTAAAGCTCCAATAAAAAGCTGAATGAATATTTAATCAACCAGAGAGCAGCAGAGGGAAACTGTGATTAAACACAAAGAAAAATTAAAGCTGCACTTGATTAACATTTTGCATATCAGAACCACTGGAATGCTGTCACCAGTGTGTATTATCTCTGTAATAGGCATGGGGATTTTATTTACTAATCATTTCCTGCACCAACTGCTCTGATAAAGTCTTTAAGGTACGAGTGTTCTTTTATTTGAGTTGTTCTCTGAGGAGCACGGCAGGCTTTTAATTTGAAATGCAGTCTCGAAACTGTTCACTTAAATAATCTTTACTAAAAATAAAACACTTTATTCCAAATGAGTGTGTTTGTTGGATGAAGCTGCAAACAAGTAGATTTAGGATCTGCTGAGCTTTGTTTTGTGAGTGTTCAGACGAACCAGGAAGTATGTGAACTGTCAGCACCAGGGCTTGTGTGTGAGCTGGCAAGGAGGGAGAGCGAGGGTTTCTAGTAGGAGGGGGAAGGGACTCAGTCAGTCAGTTCCTGTAGTGTAGTGGTTATCACGTTCGCCTAACACGCGAAAGGTCCTCGGTTCGAAACCGGGCAGGAACAGCACCTTTTTTATTTTTAAAATCTGGAACAATGTTGTTTGTCATAATGTGCTCTTCTAAAGTAAACAAACAGAAAATGTCCTGTTTCAGTTCTTGTGGCTGTAATAGCGTGACTTATCTTATCAGCTCTAGTCGGGTGAAGGATCAGTTCAGAGGCCTGAACATTCAGGGTGTTTGTCTGAAGCCAGCAGTCCTGGTTGCGACATTCCTGGCTTTGTTCTGCGTGACAACATACTTTAATCAATTAGGAGTTTTCTGAAGCATCCTCAAGTGGGCGGGCTTCACACATGCCATATATAGAGCGGACAGTGAAAGGAAGAGTGTGTGGGGTCAGGTTTACGGGGTCAGACACTCAAAAGTAAACTAATTAAGCAACACAGTAACCAACCGAGCTGTGCATCTGCTGCTCACACACACCAACAGTATCCCAAACCACAGAGCAGCACACACACGCATTATAGATTTCTGTTTAAGGACAAAAGGCATGTGTTTGTCCCAATAAAACCCAGATCTGTGTACACAAAGGTCCTCTACATTAGAAGAATTTCAGCGCTCCGCCTCAGGCTCCTGTCTTCAGTCACACATCTAACAGATTCCCAACAAAGACCTCTTAGTGATGTGGCTAAACAGAATAATAAAACCTTAGGACCACGCTGAGGGGAAAAGGAAAAAAACAGCATTTTCTTTTATCTTCATCTAAACATCTGCATGATTGTGCACCAGTCACATTTCTCATATCCATCTTGGTGTTCTTAGAGTACGAAATGAGTTTCTGTATTTGTCATCTGTTTGGACTGACATAACGGAGGAGGAGACATCTGCTGGTCTTTAGGTTCTTATAGTCTGTTTCCTTTGTGCTTTGTGTCTTAAATGCTTTGACAATATGATCAGTTAAATTTCTACAACCATCCTCCATCATCTCTCAGGTCTTTAACTAGCCGTCTTCCTCCTGATGATCCTGATTGAGCTGATCCAATCTTCCCACTGATCCTCCTAACGTTTAGCACCTTATTCTGGTAGTGGGGTCCAGCATTCAGGAAATTAAAGTCAGACTCTTTGCTCTTTTGCAGGGCTGCTGACTCAAAACAAGTTTCCTGGGCAGGAAAGAAAAAGAAAAACAGGGGTCATAGGTCAGGTTTCTCTATAAAGGATTTTTTAAATAAAAAGGATCCTAGAAAAAGCCTGAGTAGGGTCAGCGAGCGCAGCGCCTGCCTGTAATGGACCCTTTTTGTTTTTACAACCCTTTTGGACTACATTCATTTTTAATCAGGGTAATGGTAGGAAATTTGTAGAAGGGGTTTTATTTTTTGAATTTCTTTTTTTATCGGTTTCAACATTGAGTCCAGTCCCCTTCCTGGCAGTAGCAGTCTTAAGACCGAAACGTGCTGATTGCCGGCTGCTTGACACTAACTCGGAAACCCTGCTGGGAAACACAGCTTTAACAGCAACAGGAATGCATGAAATGAGCACTTAATGGTCTCTTTATGAGGTAATGAAATACTCTCACAGGTTTTAATAATGTGAAGATGTAGAATGACATAACTGCAAAGTCCAGGTGCTCAAACAGTCAATAATAATAATAATAATACAGTTTGTTTGTAACACTCTGTGTTTCAGCAATCTCAAAGTGCTCTAAAATAGCAAGGTTCATAAGTAGCTAAATAAGTAAGCGTATAAAATGTACTTAGCAAAAGGCTTTCCTAAAAAAGCTCTGTATGACGTACAAAAACTCCAAATTCCCCTTTCCGGAACACAACCATTAATAAAGAATGGTACCAAAGCATCCTCCAAGAGGAACTCCCCCCAACTGTACAATTACAGTTTTGTGTAAACAACACCTTTTCCAGCATGATGGAACAACATGACAGAAGTTATAACAAAGTGGTTTATGGCAGGGATACCCCCAAGACCTCAATCCCATTGAGAACTTGTGGTCATCTTTGAGGGGCTGGTGGACGAACGAGAACCAACAAATTCTCACAAACTCCAAATTGATTTTGTAAGAATGAGCTGAAACTGTCTGGATTTTGACCAGAAGCTGGCCGACTTCGGTAAATCATAGGAATCCTTTGATAAATATTTAATAACAATGAAGCGGGAAACTTTGTGAAAAACAAACCTTTAGTTGTAATCAACCTCAAAATGAGTTTTCTACACAGGGTGTCTGGGCTCTCCCTTAGAGATAGGGGGAGAAGCTCGGTGTAGATCCGCTGCTCTTCTGCATCAAGAGGAGCCAGGTGAGGTGGCTCGGCCTGGTGAAGTTTTCTAGGCACGTCCAACCGGAGGAGACCTACCATTAAGGAGATCCACCGACTGGCGGATAAAATCAGCCCGCGGAGGCTTCCGGCATACCCGATTCATTATCATTCTGGATGCTATGTAGTTAACAAGCCTCTGACTGAAGACGTTTTTCTTTGTCGCTCACTGCTGTGATGAGGCACACACACACACACACACACACACACATTGCTGCCAGACACAGCAAAGCAGTGTCAGAGTCTCCAAAAGCAAGACTGCTCAGGCTGATTCTGTTCAATAATAGAGGCACAGTGGACTTCTCTGCGCTCTTTCGCCACGTGCTCGGCAATGCACCATGTGCTCCGCGATGCACTCATGACATCACTGATATCTATTTTTTGCACCAATTTCGGAAACCGCCCATGTGCTCAATCACGTCTGCATTTCTAAGGCAGTGTGGGACAAAAGCTTGGTTTATGCTTGACACATTTACTTTCCGCTTGGTGATGCGGCTCGCGGATGGAACACGCTTCACAACTAGCAGCGTTTGTGGTTCATGCTACTTGTCTCTGCGGTGAGCCAATATTCTCCCAAACTGAACGGGGCAGCATGGAGCTCTACGGCATGCATCCAACACTACACCTTAGTAAAAGTAAAAATTACTGTTGTTTACAACATGGCATTCCAGCATTTTTTTTAACAGCGTCCTCGTCTTTTCCGACAGTGCGAGCTATTTCTCTCCAAGAATTATTAACAACATGTTGATCACGGAGATCTCTGAGAGCTGAATCATACAAATGTCTGTATTTACAAACCTCTGCCATACTAGTTCTTGCCAGTCCGCCATGTTTTTCCGCGTCCGACCGTCCGCGTGGTTAGAAAATTTCCTAGGTTCACGGTGCGGAAAGTTTGGGCCGTGCGGAGACGCGGTGGAGGGGCGTGGTTGTTAAAATGACACAACTTTTCCGCACGGACCTCGCAGCATAAACCAAGCTTAACGTGGCCAGGCTGGGGCGGGCAGAGCGGAGCCGATGCTAAGTGGCATACGTTTCTCAGTTGGCCAGGGAAAACCTTGGGATTCCCACAGAGGAGCTGGCCCAAGTGGCTGGAGAGACAATAAAGGATGGGATTAGTGATGCACCGATATGAAATTTTTGAGCCGATTCCTATATTAAGATCGTCGTTAAGGCCGATAACCGATATTTGCCGATGCCGATATACCGACAATGATTCTAAAGTAAGCAATTTTGTATAAAATTTAAATTATTAAAGCTACATTTACAGTATTATGTACACACACCACTCACATTTACCCTTCTGAGATGATTACATTCACTGTTCACATGACTAAACAAATACACATCACCCCCTCACCCTCTGAAACAGGCAAACAAATGGAAAACATATCGGTTGTTATAATATCGGCCCGGTTTTATTTATCAGACCGATAACGATATTGATACCGATATATTGTCCATCCCTAGATGGGATGGATAGAGTCAGTCTATTCTTTTGCCCACTGGTGTAAGCAGCATTTAAGCATTTTACACATTTTTCTTTTGGAAAGTAAATAAAATTCCAGGTTTGTTGTATCCTATCCTGTGATACAGGATCAAATACCATCCTTTTGGGAATTGATCTGCCTGTTTGCTCCCAGTTAGGTCAAAAACAAAAATTCTAACCAAGTGTTTCTGTTTATGTGGTTTTTCAGCTGGATCCACAGACGGTTCAGTCCAAGAACTGGCACATGGACGTCATAGAGATGAATGGGGTGAGACTCTAAACGGGCTTTTAACTCTACCAGTGAACAATTGTTTCTTTATTAAAAAGTAATATGAACTTGTAGCGAGGTTATGAGAAAATATCAGCACACTGAAAAATTGCAATATTTCATCATTTGTGTATTAAATTTTAACTAAAAATTTACAAAAATTCACTGTATTTCTTTTGAGTGGTGCAATTCAAACTCCGACTGCTAGGTGGCACTAGTTTGTACCGCCTTCATTCTGACAAAACAACAGGTTCTCCTGATAAGTTTTCCAATTAAATTCAGACTTAAAAGTCGCAAATGCGGTCAGGCTTTTAGTATCGCGATATATCGTATCGTTTTCCCAGTATTGTGATAAATATCGTATCGCCAGATTCACACCAAACATTTTTGTCGCCTACATGAAGTTTGTACAACAAAATTTGCAGCTCACATTTACGTGTTTGTGTATTTTTCTAAATATTTCTGTTATGTTTGTTTTGTTCTGAATCTTCAGATCAAAGTTGAGTTCTCGATGAAGTTTACAAGTCGGGACCTCAGCTTGAAAAGAACGCCGTCCAAAAAGCAGAGCGGGGTGTTTGGAGTCAAAATCAATGTGGTTACGAAGTAAGTGTCGGCGCGTATAACTTGTTTACCTGATGCAAATGAAGTGTGGCCGCTCCGATCAGCTGAAAGCTGCTGTTGTTTGCAGGCGCGAGCGCTCCAAGGTGCCTTACATCGTTCGTCAGTGCATTGAGGAGGTGGAGAAGAGGGGGATCGATGAAGTGGGAATCTATAGGATCTCGGGGGTGGCCACTGACATCCAGGCCCTCAAATTAGCATTTGACACAAGTAAACCCCTTTTCTTTGTTCCTTTTAATCTCGCCAATCCAGATCAAACGTGTTTCATCATTAAAGCATAATGATAAGGCACACTTTAAAAGTTGAATGTCTGTTTAAAGGTAGCTGTCTTAGATGAATAGACCCTGTTGCAGCTGTGCTTTTTGGGGCCTTTGCTTTAACCAGATTTACTGAAGGAATCCAGGACAGCTGTGGAGCAACAGCTGTCGAGTGTTTACGTTCTGTGTTGAATAAGAGCCTCTCAGCCTCGTTCACAGCTGCTCCTGCTCCTCTAAGATCCCACCAAGCAGAGTTTGGTTATTGCCTTTGATTTTTTATCTTTTAACCTTGAGCTTGTCTGCATCTGTGTCCTGGACCTGGACCGAGGAGAGAGCAGCTGTATTGTTGAAAGAGCGTGATAATGTTCTTTGTCCTGTCTGTAATTGGCTTGTGTGGTCTGCAGATACCAAAGACATCCTGGTGATGCTGAGTGACATGGACATTAACGCCATCGCTGGAACACTCAAGCTGTACTTCAGGGAGCTGCCGGAGCCTCTGCTCACCGACCGCCTTTATCCAGCCTTCATGGAGGGCATAGGTGCGACCTCACAGCCCACACGAGCGCAGGAAGAGGGACGCTTTCAAGCTAGATCGTACAACTAAGATCACTTTATGATGGGAAATGATGTTATGGTTTCTTGTGAACGATATTCGCTACTGTGTCACTGAACCGTAGCTCAGTAGCGGTGCTTTATCGCATGTGTTGTTTTTTCTAAGTTCAGTTGGCCATGGTGGCCATCTTGAATTGGATTTGCACAAAAGGAGAACCAGCTGTAGATGAACATGTAGTAATGATGTTATAAAGGTTTCATTAACCTCCAACAGAAAGATAAATGAACACATAGAGCAAAACATTTGAAATAAAAGTTTCACATGTTGCTTTGCAGCTCTCTCAGACCCAGCAGCCAAGGAGAACTGTATGATGCACCTCCTGCGGTCTCTGCCCGACCCAAACCTCATGACCTTCCTAACTCTACTGGAGCACCTCAAACGGTACACACACACACACACACACTTGGTCACACGAAAGCACAACGATGGCTAAACTTTCCCTTGTGTTTATTTAGAATAGATAAATTCAAACATGAATTTCTTGTCTGTCTGTTGTAATCAGCTGTTGTTGCCTACTTGAAGATGTTGCACTTTGCTCCCGTTTCAGTGTTTTCTTCTGCTTCCTTTCAGGGTTGCTGAGAAGGAGCCCATCAACAAGATGTCCCTCCATAATCTGGCCACCGTGTTTGGCCCCACCCTGCTCAGACCCTCAGAGTTGGAGAGCACGAAGGGACAACACATCACATCCGCCTCCGACATCTGGTCACATGACGTGATGGCGCAGGTACGTAGAAGCATCCACGTTGTAATCAGATTGTCGTGTGTTTAAATCTACTGATCAAAATCCATCTTATAGAAGCTGTTCTTAGCCTGGAAGTTATTTATTTATCCACACTGCAAAATAAACTTAAATAAGTTCAACCATAAACACCTGTTTGTTTTGAGGCTCATTTAGATTCTAAATTAAAAGAACTGAATCGTGATTAGCTTCCTAAATCCTTTCTTCTTATCCTTTGCTTACGTTTTAAGAGAACAATGAGATCTAAGTGACTTCAGAGTAATCCTCCAACAGCTACAGTCCAGTCATTTACAAATACACAGAGGAGTTGGAAAAAATAATGAATCAGATCCACTTTTGCATTTAAAGCCGTTTCCAGTCAAACCTTCAAAATCATCAGGACTGAACCACGAGTGGCAGCGTTTCCGGGTCAGGTTAGGATTCGTTTAGACCCAACATGTGTAAACGAAACATAGTAAGCACATGTGCAAGCCAGCTGCTGGTCAGGTCCCGGTACCGGGAGGAGGAAGAGGCCAATTACTTTGAAGGTCTCGCTTCCGGTTCTGTTGTGGCTCATCCTCAGTGATTGTGGGTACCAACCCCTTACAGCCAATCAGAACATGGGGTTTCCGCCTCACGTGGGGCTGCTGCATCCCTTCTTCTGCCCTCCTCCTCCTGCAAACGTGCATGCGCGCGCGCACACACACACTCCTGCACACTTGTTTTATGTTTGCTCAAGTTTCACCTGATCTGGATTTTCTGATGAACATCGAGATCCAGCAGTATGGTTTTTCTGTTGCCAATACTGATGCCGATATGTAGAGGTCATGGTCAGCTGATGGCCGTTAGACGTTTCCCGCCTTACCTGCATGCTAAAATATTACTAATAATATCAATCGAGGAGCAATACTGAAACTGAATCCGTTTTTGAACTCTAAATTTAACCAACAGTTATTTCTCTTCACTGCTCAGTTTTAAAACCAAACATTTAACCAAAGTTCATTCAACAGTTCAATAAACTGACCAAGCACTAAATATAAATATAAATACTGGTAAATATCAAGAAATGTCTGTGTTGACAACAATGTTTTAAAGTATTACTAGTATTCAGAAACATGAATATACATTTAAGCAAAATCCTGCAGCAGCCCCGGGCTGCCCACGGACGTGTATAAAATGTGGTAAAAAATTGGCCCGATATATTGGCTGACCGATGTATCGGGCCATTCCTTGTGAGTATTTGATGTTCACATGTGAGAAACGTGAGGAAAAATAACAGTAATCATAATTCCACTCCCTAACTTTTAAAGGAACACTTTGTAGTTTGGCTTGCCTTTAGCATTCCCGTTTAGCAGAACCAAAAGCTAAACTTATCTCCTGTGCGTTTGTCTTTTTAACACTTTATTCTATCAGCTGGAATGTCTCCTCAGCCTTCATTAGTGTCTTCAGGCGTGATTCATCACCAATCAGCTGTGTTCAGGATCTAAAACGTGCAGGAAACGGGCCAGAACCAGACTACAGCCCTAGGCATGTTGGCTCTACTTTTCTAGGACCAACTGGTGGTGGGCTGCCACTCTGAAGTTGCAAGTGCGATGTTCTGGCCATAGAGGGTAGTAGGGGTCTGAGTGACATTTCATTAACCCTCTGAAGGTTCGTTTTAGCACATATTGGCTTAAAAATCATTTAAAATGTGAAAAAGTTGCACAGTGTGGCTTTAAATGGACTGTAAGCCCAAAACTAAAACGATAATCTGGGATATTTTGGTTTTTGAGTGAAAAAAAGAGATTTGCATTCACACAGATGTTATCTGTCCTTGTAGGTCCAGGTTCTTCTCTATTATCTGCAGCATCCTCCCATCTCCTTTGCCGAACTCAAACGCAACACGCTGTACTTCTCCACTGATGTTTAATCCTCAGCCGTGCCCCCTTAAACCTTCACCCCGACTCTAAACTGGACCCCAGTTACCAGTGCTCCCACCTCGTCTCTCATTCCAGCTGGCAGCTCGTCTCAACCGCCCCCAGAGACGCCCTCCTTCATCAAGATGAGCAGCCTCTCTGGGAGCACGCTGGAAAGTGTTTAAGGGGGCGGCGGGAGTCCAGTAGCCACAGCCTGGTGCGATGGCTCAGGACACGCTGTCTAGCAAGCCTCGTTTGAGTCACAAATGCATCGACTCCAAGTCCAACTTTTGTTTCCTGCTCAGAGGCATTCCAGAAAAATGGCATTTACATGTTTAATAATGATGTCCACCATCTGTTTATGTTTTGTTTGTTTGAGTTTTTGGGCTTTGTGTGTGTGGTGGAGAAGGTCAGTAAGACAGTGTGGATGTATTTGATCAAGTGTGTGTCTTTAAGGGACTAAAATAAGCTTGTCATCCTGAGAAAAGGCAAGGATTGCATCTCTCCCTGTGGTGGGACGAGAGTGGACAGTCCTCCTCACCGAGTCTCGGCCAAATTAGCCCTATTTATTTCAAATATAAATATATAATGTGTCTGCCTGTACAGTTTTGTGCAACTTAGAAAGTGCTCTGAGGAGTTTTTATTTTTATTTTTTGAAGTTTAGATGTTTTAGTCTGATTTTCTTATTTGCCATGCTTGATTGGTAAGCTGTGCTGCAATGATCACGAATAAGTCCGTCAGTTACTTTCAGATCACTTTATAGACGTGTGAGGGCACTCGGGGACTTGTGGGGACACGATGAACAACTAGCTTTCTTTTTCTTCTTGCATTTCACGCCTGTTCCAAGTGTTACTGCACCAGTTCTATCTGTAGGATAACTTCTTTTTTCAACTTGCCCTCATTGCATGTTCAGCTTGTTGATAAATCCAGGTCAGAGTTAGGTTGTTTATGCAACGGCCTCGCTAATGCACAACGGGGGGGGGGGACAGAAGAAAATCTGCTCAGTTCAAAGCTAACCTTCCTGCTATCAAGCCTGCAACATATCTCAAGAAACTGCAAGCACTGCTAGATGATTTGATATTTTTAATATAAGAATAAAACTGTTGTATTTTACTTCCTTTGAGAAAAGTTTCAATATGCTGTAATATGGAGACTAAATGTTAATGTGGACTTTTTCTCCTTTTTTTTTTTTTGTAAAATAAAAGTTATCAAAACACTTTGTGTCTGAAACTGCAGATTAAACATGTTTCTCCTTTTGGAAAATGTGGATTATTTCTGGGATTTGCTGTTTAAAATGCCGTGAGAGTTACCCTCAGAGCCACGTCATTCTGAGACGTGCCTTCTTCATTTTAATTTATTTAGAAACTTCAGGTCTGCAACCTTCAGCCCTTCTGAAGTGGTGCCTTGATCCAAAGTGGTTTTAATGTCAAATTTTTGCAACAGTAGCTAATTTCCACAGTAAAATCACAATGTAGCTTAAGGGCCCAGTTTTACTGTTGAACTAAGTTTATTTGTTCAGTTTTCTGACGTGATTGCTCTCCGAATTCACTAGAAAATATAACATTTTCAAGTTTTCCATGCCAAATTGCTGCAAATGTGAGAAAGTTTTTCCCAATTTTGAAAAATGACAGAAAATTTGAAACCGCAATCTGGAGTTTCGCCCTTTCAGTGATTATGATTTTTTTTAGAAATCCATAAAAGTGATAATTTAATCAGGTACTGTGACAAAATGTAGTGCAACAAGTCTTTTTTTCTGAGCCCATCTCCCATCCGTAGACAGCCCCATGCTATTTGAACTGAGCGCCATTCAGCATTAGCCAATAGCGTTACATCTGCTTGCGTACAGCTCTCAATCACAGAGCGTGAGTGAGCGTTGGATGTACCTAGATGGATGCAGAGTTGGCAACCTTTCTCATGGACAAGAAAGTTTTTAAATAAACAACATAGTGAGAGAATAATAATCGTACAAGTTTGCGCTGTTTGACGGCTAGACGTGTGCGTTCATGAACAAGTGGCTTTGCTTGCTTTCTGCAAAATACTCCAGATTGCAGCTTTAACCCCCTGCAACCATGTGTTCTCGTGAGGATTTACTTTGTGCTACAAATTTTTATTCTGTTCAACTTTCAGCTCTCAAGCTTTAAATTTTTGTTTTTTTTTAAAGCACTAATTGCTTTAAAGGGGTTGCACAGTGGTTAGCGCTGTTGCCTTGCAGCAAGGAAGTCTATAGACACTATAGTGTTCACATCCCAGCCTGTGGTCTCTCTGCAAGGAGTTTGCATGTTCTTCCTGTGCATGCGTGCGTTCTCTCTGCGTACTCCAGCCTCCTCACACAGTCCAAAAACATGACTGTCAGGCTGATTGGTCTTTCTTTTGTGCATGCGTGCATTGTTGTTTGTCCTGTGTGTGTCTGTGTTACCCTGCAATGGGCTGGCAACCAGTCCAACCCTCCAGGCTGTACCCCGCCTGCTTGCTCAGAGATCACTGGAGATGGGCACCAATCCCCCCACGACCCTGCATGGATGAGCGGATACAGAAAATGGATGGATGCATGGACGTAGTTTTGGAAGGGTACAGGGGGGTCATGTCCCCTCACTTTTTCCAAAGTCAATTTTGGTCCCCTGCACTTTTTACTGTCCAAAAACAATATTACGCTATATTTATAGACACTGGCTGAGCACTAGGACCAAGCAGAAAACAACCACTTGTGTTGAAGCCTGTTTCCCATTACAAAATACACATTTTTGTATACGTATTGCAAAGATTCCCCCCGGTCCTCCTGTCGGTAGTGTTCCCTCTTCTAAAGTCAAAACTCCATCCATGGATAATTGTTCAAAACCCATTATAGTAGATGTTACCTGTGGAGCAGAAAGCATGCAATGTCAGCATGACTCCTCAGACTTTGATGGTCTATCAGTTAATTCCAGCCGACCAGAAGAAAACATGTCTTCTTCAGCCGTTAGACCCTGCAAACTACTTTAGACCTGATTTTTATAGTCATGGTATGAAGCTGCCAATATTTTTCCACAGCTGGACATCATTTTATTCGTTATCAATAATGTTTTGATGGATATTTCCAAATGTTAATGGTACAAACTACACATTGTATCTTTAAATATTCTCCTCTAATTAGTAATAGATATGATCAAAATATTCACTTCTTACTGAATAAAAAGTTAAACAAGTTTAGTACCAGCTTCGGCCACTGGAGGATAGCAAGTCCCCTTCGTCCCTTTTTTAAAGGCTGTTGGAAATCAGAGTGTTATACTATTTTTTTGCCAGCGGAGGGCGCAAATTCCCTATTCTATTAATGAAACAATACTTTTAGAGCAATTGTTTCCACAAAGTAGTGTAAACGTTCACTTAGACAAAAACAAACAGTAAAAAAAAACTATAATTGTCTTCTGTTATTGGTTATTAAAAATACTAAGTAAAAATACTTCATATTTAAATAAATAAATGAATGAAAGTCAAACTTCAGGGAAGCTGGGATTGAATTTAGGAGTGCTTTAGCACGCCCAAAAGCAGGCTAGAAACACCCATGAGGAGGTTAAATGTTTTAGTACCAGCTTCGGCCACTGGAGGGCAGCAACTCCCCTTCTTCCCATCGCTTCTTCCCTTCTCTAAACGGTGTTGCTGCCCTCCAGTGGCCGAAGCTGGTACTAAATGTTTTAACTTTTTTGTCAATTTTCATCCCTGAAAATGAGTTAAAAGGTATCTCACTTGCTGATAGACAAATTGTTATAAGTCACGTCGCCAATGAGACCACACTTTTTCTAAGAGACTCTCATAGCAATCAGACTTGTCCAGAAATTTTCTGAAACTCAACTTTAAAAAGGAACTTATGATGGAGTTATTATCACAAAGAATACTGATGTAATGTGCATCAGTGGCCTGGGGTAGCACATGCCACCCTTAGAATCTGATTGGCCACCCCAGGTGCCACCTCACTAAGTTCCAGTATAAATTGACTTTACATTGTCGACAAAGGCTTGGGTTGTAAACTCCAAAATAGTGTGTGGTTACATGCACCTTTCACCTTGTTTTCTAGCCCAGGTATGTAGTATTAACATTTTTTCATATTTTTTCATATTTACATACATAATATGTAGAGTCCCACTCAACTCCAGTTGGTGGCAGTAATGCAACAAGAAGTGACTTGCTAACGACCACAAAAGTAGAAGATGAAGAGGGAAAAAATGGTGATTGTGCAATGTGAAACTCAAAAATTCACTAGAAAGTAAATAAATAAATAAACGATTTGTGTAAATAAATAGATAAGCATAACCATTGGTGCCACCCATGAATAAACAAGTGCCCCACATGGGCCACCCCATTTTAAAAGTCCTGGACACGGCTCTGTTACTAAGACTGAAGGGACTTCTAAGTTCACATATCCTGTGCTTGCTCTAGATGTTGATGCCTCCACATGTAAAACCAAACAAGATGCTTTATACATTTGCCTGGAAAAACAAAGTTAATAAAGTCCTAGTGTAACTCTCTGGATGAGCTGAATGTTACTCTACTCGAGGGTCATGGGTAGAGAGAGAGAGAGATCGAAGAAACGACACGAGGAAACGTCTTCATCAGAGCTGCAGCCATAACTTTATTAACCGTTTTTTTTTCTCCCCGCTAACTCTCCACCGACCGAACAGCACCCTCTCCCCGGTGTATCACTCCGCCAGAGACATTCACCAGACACAAACAATATCAAACAATAAATCTCATCCTACACTCTTCCCTCTCTTTAAATGAAATGTCCTCATTTCAGTCCTAGAAAAACAATAAATCTCATCCTAAAATAAAATGGAGGATCAAAAAAAAAAAAGAATGCTTTCCAGACAAAGCATGCAACCGTGACATCAGAACTTTTTTTTTTCAACTCAGTTAATACAAAGGTCTCACAGCATCAAACGCTTTGGCCTGCGAACCACACGACCTGAACGAGTCGTGCATGACCCTTGCTGTCCACAGGAGCGGACTGTGCCTCCGAGGGTTCGCATCATACAGGTACAGATGGGTGAGGAGGAGCCACACCCTGCCCCAGGTCAGGATGTCCAAAGTGTAGGGGAAGGGAACCTGACAATGCAGTATACCGTGGAACACTGTACACAGGTTATAAACCTTCAGGCCACCACTGGTTTCCTGTAAGCTTTACATATGCTGCATGGAAATCCATCTTCTGGTCACTACAGCGCTGACCGCACACTTAGTAAAGCTTTAAGTATTGGCCAAGTATGAGATCTGATATTGACCAGTTTTGCTCTGTATGCCCCACATGTGAAGCTTACAGGAAACCAGTTCCACAGAACAGGGCCCCCCTACAGTCCATACAGGCACACAGGCCTTTCCAGTTTTTATGCACGGACATCACTGAACTGCCCCTCACCTCGAAGGGGAACAGATATGTACTGGTAGTGCAGGATCATTTTACAAAATATGTGAATGTGTTTCCAATGCAGGATCAGTGAGCACAGGCCGTTGCAGAGCTCCTGTGTGGATGTTTCATTCCTGAGCATGAGGGACGGCAGTTTGAATCCGAAACTATGCAGACAGTCTGCAAAAGGCTTCAGATCAAGAAAAAAATAACCTGACCATATCATCCTCGTGGAAATGGGATGGTTGAGTGGTTTAATAGGACGTTAAAGGAACAGCTAGCAAAACTCATTCACCAGTTTGGTGGTGAATGGGATCACTTCTTGCCAGCTGTGGTTCTCTCCTTTAATTCCATGCCTCATTCAAGCACTGGTTATTCCCCTTACTTTCTTGTCCACGGTCGGGAACCCCGTCTACCTGCCGCTGTGTCTCTGTCTACACCGGGTTTGCAAATGACTCCTCAGAACTACGGCGCAGAGCTGGTGAGTCGTCTGGATGCGGCATTCAAGGCCCTTCATTTTCATCGAGAGGACCAGAGGCTCAGGCATGAGTATTATTTTGACAGACATATGAGATTCAAGCCATATGAATGTGGTGATCTCGTGTGGATGGACGATCCGACAGCACAGAGAAAGAAACTGGAACCAAACTGGGGCCTCATCAGGTCATTTCCTCAGACAATGATGGACGGATTTACAGGCTACTGGATTTGAGGCGACCTGGGCCTGACCTTAAAGTCATTCACTATGATCCCCTAAAACCATACCGAGCTACTTGGAAGGGATCAGACACAAGCAATATCAAACAATAAATCTCATCCTACACTAGTAAACCCTATAGAGTCAGGGAGACTCAATTTCCTATAACTTACTACCTTAAATTACACTTTTAAAATCAACTGGATCAGGACATTTTTACTACCCCAGACTCGAAATGGAATTTTTCACCTAATTTTATGTTCTCTCAACTGGATGACCACCCCTTTATCCTCCAACTAATTACAATGTTCAAAATTTACCCATAAAATTGTCAAATTATTATAAGCAAATGCTCCTGGCTTGGTTTCAATTGAATTCAATTCAATTCGAGTTTATTTATATAGCGCCAAATCACGACAAGAGTCGTCTCAAGGCACTTCACATAATAAACACTCCAATCTAGTTCAGTTCATTAAGCCAATCAGACAAAATGTTTCCTATATAAGAAACCCAGCAAATTGCATCAAGTCACTGACTAGTGTCAGTGACTTTACAGCAATCCTCACTAAGCAAGCATATAGCGACAGTGGAGAGGAAAACTCCCTTTTAACAGGAAGAAACCTCCAGAGAATCCTGGCTCAGTATAAGCAGCCATCCTCCACGACTCAGTGGGGATCGAGAAGGAAGGAAGGAAGGAAGGCCAATACTGTTCTAATTAACTCGTATCTGTATAGTTTAGTTAACTGATACTATGAACCGATACTTTAAATGTGGAAACTGCAAAACTTTCACAGAAAATGTTTATTTTTCACTTGAACTTTGAATTTTGTGGTCATTTTAATTAATATGTTTTTTTTTATCTAATTCACCGTTATTTGTAACAAGCACTGAAGAAAATAAAAACTGCCTTCCGATTCATTCCATTCCATTGTGTGGTACAATTATTAGCATTGGTACTTAGCATCAACAAGTACTCAGATCCAATTATCTGTATCGCATCGGTTTGAAAAAGTATTGTTGCATCCCTACAACGTGATTTTTTTTATGGCAAACATTTGATTGGTGTGCTATGTGTGTTCTCTACAATGCCAGGAGAGTAGCAGCCTTTATTGACTCTGGATTCTGGATGGAGAAAACAGGAAGAGACCTTGAGGTATGTTTTCAGTGCAAAAGTTTGAAAGCTCATCAGGTGCATCATAATGCAGTTAAAAACTAGCAGGTGCGTGTCAGCTCTCTTCATTTAATGAAACATTTTTCTTTTTACAGTTCTTTCCCCAGCAGTTCATGGGAAATTGCTGCGGCATCTTTATGCTGATGGTGAGAATTTTCTTGCCATTACTTGAATGTAACATTTTAACACGTTAAAGATTGATTTTACTTTGCAGTTTGCTCTCTGCATCTGCACCTCATCTCCACCGTCTTTCACAGAGGTAAGCTTTTTCAGACAGTACCACCAAAGTATCTGTGCCAGTGTCCAGTCTTCATAAACCTTACATTATATTTGTCTTCAGGAGGAAATGCCAGCAATTCGCCTGTGGTGGTGTATTCAGCTGATGGAGAGATTCGACATTGAGGGGTATGGCAGGCACTTTAGACAAACTGGCAACATCATATTTGCAGCTTTGGTTCAGGCAAGACATCAAGTCAAACAAAAGTTTGTGAAAGTGGCTTACTGTAAACCCTGAGACTGAACATACTGAAGAAAGCGGCAGTACACAACTAGAGTCCATTCAGACTGGCGTTGTTTTCTAAAGGCATGGACAAAGATTTGCCTTCTGGACAGAAGAATTATCCCTTTTCCTCCAGGGGACTCTCCAGCCTGTCTTCAGGGTACCAAAGGCAACCTCCTCCAAGCCTTCACCAAGTCTAATCAGACCGGTGAGAGAGTCAGATAACTATTTGTAGGACAGAACCACACAATGTTGAGACTATTCATCACAATGCAGGTTTACATACATGGTGGTAATCTTCATTTCAGTCCAATGTGATAATCATGTTTTCTGTTAAAGGCTGAGGCTGACAGGTGTCTTATACTGGAGGTAATCTATCTATTTTCCTGTTTCTTTAATTTGTTGATGTAACTGAATTAGTAGTTATAGTCACCGGCAGCTCCTTCAGAGGCATTATTCAGTAGTGGAATGAAGTAATAGTTATGAAAACACTAGTCAATGTAATGTGTTTTCAGTCCTCATATTTCTGAAACTTTATGGACAAATTTTGTATTTTCATTATTGTCACCTGACATAAAGTTTCCAGTTGCCAGAACGTGTCCTCATGGACATATTGGAAGAGGTTGCTCTTCATGAAGGGGATACAGCAATCTTCAAACTGGCTCTGGTGTGCTCCATGTTCAGAGACCTTGTGTCTACTGAATATTTCAGAAGACGAGCACACTTCAAGTGGCTTCACAGTGAGGACTTCAGTAAATAATGAAATTATATATACAGTTATTGTTGTTGTTGTCACATGTTTTTTACTGACAGCATGTAAATGTAATCTTGTTTTTATACTTGTGCTTTCCACAGGTGTTTGCACATGGAACAGGTTATCAGAAAAGTACAGAGAACAGTACTTTAACATGTACTTTATAGAGATCAGCCTTCAATGTGGAGACCAGTACAAACACTGCCCCGGAGGTATGCAACACTCTATAATCTTATATTGTTGTCATTACATACAATAAAAATCTCAATGATGCATGACACAATGAAAACCATACCACTTGGAGCCTATTCTTCTCTGTTTGATTTATTTATTTATTTATTTATTTATTTTTTATTACAGGATATGTTGGCAGAGGAAAAAGAGGAGAACTAAGGGCACTTTACTCGGAGGAGATGCTCCCAGGCTACTGCAGCCACTTTTGCAGCCAAATGAACAATTAATGTTTCTGCTCTGTCGCCGCCCCCCATCTCCACACACACACGCACACACACGCACGCACGCACACGCACACACACACACACACACGCACGCACACACACATCTGTCTTTCTATCATAGTGAGGCCCCTCCATTAATTTCCATTCATTTTTGTGATTTCACCATGCCTAACCCATACCCCAACCCTATCCATAACCAACGCTGATCTTTTCCTAACCCTAACCTTAACTAAAACTTAATTCACACTATGCCTCTAACTGGTATAGTAAGCTTCTGGTACGCTTCTAAAAAAGTGAGGACCAAAAAATGTCCTCACTTTGTAGGGAAAATGATCAAAATGGTCCTCAGTATGTAGTATGTACAAGAACACACTCACACACCACCCTGGTTGTAGTGACCAGGCTCCCCATCAGTGGTTCTCCCACATCTTGGTTTGTGTTTTGATGCCTGTTTTTCTTTGTGAGAGTTTTTGATCATTCTTCTTGGAGTTCTAGAGCAAAAACTAATGCTCTGTTTGAGAAAATGAATCTGTTGGGCTTGTACCTGGTACTCAGTACCACACTGCCAGAAAGGACACGCTGAAAATAAAAAGCTTTTTATTTCCATCAATATGTGTCTCCTTATTCAAATAATCTGGGTTGTAACCATCTTCTCAATCCTTTTTCTGTTGTTCATGCTCTTGCAATCTGTTGTTTGTGTTCTGCATTATTACAGTAAACCTGTGAAAGTTATAAAGTGGACCTGTGTTATTTTATACGGATATAAACATGAGTGTAGTTAAATCTGTATTTAACAAATAGTTAACCTATGAATACCTTGAGAAACTATTTTCAAACATTAATTTTGCAACATTGTGAAAATGATCACTACAAAGAATTAAAAGTTACTTCAAGACAAAGTGGCAAACTAAGAAATCTAACACAAAAGTAGAAAGTAAACAAATTTTAGGTGATGAGCCAAATTGGCTTTTGTGCAAGAATATATTACATTTCATATTGGAAAACATTCTTAGGACATGTAGTGCAAATTAAGAATATCTGCTGTATCACAATGACACATTTTCAGCGTTTAAATGAAAATATAACCTATTGTGTGGAGAAAAAGCAAACAAACATGTAATAGGTCACCTGAAGACTCATCAGCCAGTGTTTACTGACAATTTACAGTGGACATTATCAACAGAACATCAAGGTAATTCCAATCAATCGTCTCCACACATACAAGCATAAACACAATAGATCAAATTTAACACGCATATAAAAACTCGATTTGTAACAACGCAAATTCTGTTTACAATAGGGCTAATTCGCACGGTCAGCAAGTGGCAGTTTCCTCGTACACTGCGGAGTAAACTGCGGATCGGATCACAAGAAGACTAGAACATCTGCACATGCGCGGTACGGATCGGGTAGACCCGATCTGTACGGTCCGACGTTTTCTTTTTTTTCTTTCGTTTTTATCTACGTTATATTGAAATGTTTCAATATTGCAAACATTTTAATAGATACTTATTATTTTTGACATCTTAACAGATACTCTGACCCGTAACTATCGTAAATTGCTTCGAGCGGAAGCAGACGTCTTTCGCGCATGCGTGGTACGTCACTAGCCTGCGTCGCAGACGCGCATGCGTGGTACGTCACTAGCCTGCGTCGCCGTCATATAAAGGTCAGGTCAGATTCCAAATATCAGTCAGATCACAGCTCTAGAGCGCTTGCGTTACATCGATGTCCCTTCTGACAGTATTTAGAAGGACTCATTCTTTTACTGACAGGAACTTTGTGAGTAGCATATCACAGTCAAAAGCTGAAATCAAATAAGTTTTAAGAGACAAACCAGTAAGTTTGCGTCTACTACGCCTACATACGTTCGACGGTAGGGGGCGGAGCTAAACATAAATATTCAAGTGACGTCATCAAAGGACTGTGTTATATAAGCTCTGAATCTCTGTGTGACATCACATTTAATTTCAGTCTCTGAAGAGGAAACATGGAATTGTTAGAAGACTCACCAGAGCTTCTGAGTTTACTGAATGGTGAATTGTCCGGCAAAGAAGAAAATCAGACCACTGTTTCAGAGCAAGATGCATCTGTTTCAGAGCGCCATGTCACTTTTTCAGAGGATGAGGCATCCGTTTCAGAGCACAAATACAAAAACTATAATTTGAAAGACCTTCTCCAAATACAAAAAAAGAATGAAACCAGGTTAAGGGACCGCTGTATTCTGGCTGAAAAAAAATTATCTGAACTCCAGGTGGAACTCGACCGTGCCATCAAGAAAATTGCAGCAGCTGATAAGGTATGTGAACTATCCAGGATCCTCCGATCAGCAAAAAAAGATTTGAAAGCTCAAGTCGCTGAGCTGAAATGTCAGAACACCAAACTGAAAACTGAGAACCTATTGTGTGTCAAAGCCAATGAAGATCTTCAAGCGTCCCTAAACGACAAAATTAGTGAAATGAAAACACTTCGTGCAGATCTGATTAAAGCAAAAATGCATGTGAAAGATGCAGATAAACAATCAGTAAACCTACAAAACCTGAATACTAACCATCTGGCTCTTCAGAATACAGTAAAAGATTTTCAAGAAGCTAATGCTTCTCTGAAAAGCGAGTTAGCGACTACTACAAATAATCTTACATATTTACAGAGACAGAAAGACAAATTAGCTGAGAAAAACCATGAGATGTCCATGCAAGTTACTGACCTCACATATGAAAATCAGGAACTCAAAAAAACTCTAGATGAATCTGTCAAGTCTCTCGAAAAAAATCATTGTGACATTCAAAATTATAAGAGCCAGATTGAAAAGCTTAAAGAAAATTGTATTAAGTTAAATGGGGAAAGCAAAATTGTGCAAAGAGAATGTAATACTCAAATCCAACTCATAAAGGCAAACACATGCAGAGAGATAATCACTCTGAAAAGGGAGAGCTTATTTCACCAAAAAGAGCGAGGTAAGTTGATTACTGAATTACAAGCCTGCTCTGAAGATAAGAAATGCATTGAACAGCAAATTTTGTCAACTGAGAAAGAAAACCAGGCTTTAAAGCAAGAGAACAATGCACTCCAGAAGAAAATTGCTCAACAGGAGAAACATATTGAGTACAAAGAAGAAGAAATAAAAAATCTTAGTAAAAAATACTCATCTTCATGTTCCCAACTTCAACATTCAAAGAATAAGTTCGAGGAAGAAAGACAGTTATCACAGATCAAACTCTTACAAGCTCAGGACGAAGACTTAAGAACAACAGGCCAAAAAAATAGGTTAGAACAAGAGAATGCACAACTTTCTAAAAAATTAGCCAATGCTGAGGAACATATCCTAAATCTGAGGGCAAGCCTCATGGTCAAAAATTACAGTAGTCAAAAAAAGTTGCAGGAAGCTGTGGAGGTTACAGAAGAAAACATTCAGCATAAATTAACCATTCAAATGCTTCAAAGTCAACTTGCGAACGCAGATCGAGGTCAAACTATGCTGAAAGAGGCATTGGAAAGCCAGAGGCCGCGTTCCAAGATGCCTTTACAGGAAAACACGACACAACTGCTGTCAAGAGAAAGGGACAATGTTGAAATAAAAGATCTCAAAGAGCAGAATGAAAAACTGAAGGTCAAACTTCATCAGTGTTGGGAGAATGAAAAGAAATTACAAGAAACTAAGCAGAAGAATGAGTATCTAAGAGGAAAAATCATCGCAATGGAGTACGCATCTGGTAAAAGATTAGTTACAAAGGCAGATTCATCACAATCCCCCCCGGGGGAATACTGAAAATAGAAGATCTTCTAGGAAGTCTGATCTAGTTTAAAGATCACTACGTTATTGTTTTTCACCGGAGGATTAGATCCACAGACGTTGATAAGACTCAAAGGGCAGCGTGCGCCTTCAAAAATTATACATCATGGTATGTCATGATTTTGTCCACCCTTACATACCATACCAGATTTATTTCTAAAGCACGTTAAAAGCAGCATGAGAGCTGACTGCAGTACTCAACAAGAAAAGCAGGCTTAATATACAGGAAATTAACAGATTTAACAGCATGAGAGCTGACTGAAGTACTCCACAATAGAAGCAGACTTAAGATACAGGAAATAGATCAAATTAAACAAACAAAGGTGAAACCATGTAGCTAAATTAAAGAATAACTATATGCCAAATCATAGAAGTGGGTCTTCAGTAGTGACTTCAAGTAAATGTGGGTCGGTGACATCTGACAGAAAGGGGAACCGCGTTCGAAAGTGTGGGGACCTCAAACACAAAGGCCCGTTCTCCATCCGTGTCACCGTTTATCCGAATGTAGTGCGAAGAACTTAAGTTAAAAAATGTACTGAAAGAAGACGGCACAAGTGACTCAGTAATCGCTTAAAACAGGAGCTGAAACGGACAGTGTTGGACTTTATAGCAATCACTTTCTAACAGGTAACAGATTACTGAGTGTTTTATTAAACAGTTGCTTAGTAACAGCCATAAAGTGACTGACAATATAATGCTGGTTAATCATCAGTCGCAGCCTTTCAGAGTCAAGCTGATAGATTTTGGGCTTGCTATGGAAACATACGATCTACGGAACTATGACGTCATAAAGGTGTGTGGTTTCAGAGCACCAGAGGTGAACTTAGGTCTCCCTCCGACTGAAGCCGTTGACATGTGGGTTGTTGTGTGTACACTGGGTTTCATCTTTCTTGGAGATTATATTCACAATCGTTTTAGTGAGTTTAACAATATGAGGCAGATCTTTAAGCTCCACGGTCTGCCTGACCAGGATTTACTTGACAAGGGAATGAAAGTGGACCGCTTTTTCATTTTTGACCAGTCAAACCAAACTTGGAGGTTTAAAACACCACAGGAGTATACGGAGACAGGGATCCAGATCACAATAGGTACAGAGCACCTTAAATATAAGTTAGACTCTCTGGATGACTTCTTAGAGATTCATTCAGAAATACAAGACCCCTTTGAGATAGAAGATCTGCAGGCTTTCTTAGACCTCCTGAAAAAGATGTTTACAGTGAATCCCTCAGAGCGGATCACTCCAGAAGAAGCTCTAAATCACAGATTTATAACAATGGGCCACCTTCCTCCTACCAGCAATAAGTCATATGTGACATCGGCATACGAAAAAATGAAAGTTTATCGAATGGAGACAGAAGAAACAAGCGGCCCATCACTTGATTTTATCGTGGGACAGACCGCTGACAGCAAATCAGATCTCTTTGATCTGAATCTGTCTGATTACGATCTGTCGGACTCAGATCACTCTGAATTAGAAGATTCTGACTCTGATCTGTCTGACTTAGATACTGATGAGCCAGTGAACACGTCAGAATTGGATGTCGATAAGTTTCAGAAAGCTGAAAGGAGTATGATTCAGAACTGGAAGCCAGATGATGACAGCCTAGATGAAATGCCATTTGAATTATACAAAGATCAGACAATCCCTGGGGATCCAAGTTTATTTTAGTCAATATTTTCTTAGATAAGCTTATTTAGACTAGTGGTCAAGGGTTTAAAACAGGGGACAGACTCAGATCAAAATTGAAGAATGCAAAATTGGTTACACTACTGTGGATACAGAGGAAGATCCTCAGGAGCAAACTTCAACCTTAGCATTCAAAGTTTTAGTGTTTAGTTTTAGTGTTTAGCGTTTAGTTTTAGTGTTTAGCGTTTAGTTTTAGTGTTTAGCGTTTAGTTTTAGTGTTTGGTTTTAGTGTTTAGCGTTTAGTTTTAGTGTTTAGCGTTTAGTTTTAGTGTTTGGTTTTAGTGTTTAGCGTTTAGTTTTAGTGTTTAGCGTTTAGTTTTAGCGTTCTAAAACCATGACAGGGTTGGGGTTAGTAATAAAGTAAACATAAACAAAACAAAAATAAATAAATAAATAAATAAAAATATATAAAAATGATCCTCTACTATTAATCGCCACCTTATCGCGGTGTAGGGGTTTGCGTGCCCTGACCCCAGAAGGCATGTTGCCTGGGACTGTTTGTCCCTGTTAGGTTCTGCCATGGCAACTGGGCTCTGGGTCAGGTGCCAGACTAAGAGCGATTCATTAATTCTTATTAGGACTACAAAAGCAGTGGAGAAAAACTCTCTCCAAGACTTTTTAAATAATTGAGTTGTAGTAGTTACGTAGTTGGTATAAAAGAAAAGTTTTCACAGAAAATATTTTCCATTATCTAGACCAGTGGTTCCCAACCTGGGGTTCGTGACCCTCCAAAGGGGTCCCCACAACTGTGTCTGTGCTGAGGTTGTTGGGTTACAAAGGTTATTTATTATTTGTAAAAAATTACTTTTCTAAAATCCCAATTACACGCCCAACAGTGTAATCAAAAATCTGTATAGGTGTTACAACACCGCATGTCTGTGCAGTTTGTAACTAATCACTTGTGATGTGTGTTTGTAGATGGGGTTGGGGGGGGGTCCTGGCTTGTTTTCAACACTGGTACGGGGGTCTTCATGGTAAACGGTTCGGAACAACTGATCTAGATGAAATATGGTGTTTACTAATTTAAAAACTGTAGAAATTTTAAAGTAGTATATTTTATTCTGAAAGTATTTACAGGAAGTGCCGATCGTCTTGTTTACAGTAACTTGACATAAACGCTGTGGTAACAGCTTCTGTCCGCAAGAGGGCGGAAAAATCCTTCATCGTGAAAGTCAGACAATAAGGGTTTGCTTGTTTCAACCATGTGGCTTCTACCCAGTTGATCTGAAAAATTACGTATAAATCCCTTCAATCAAATGCTGATTACAAATAAACCAATTAAAAATAAATTTAGACAGAAAAATGTATAAAAAGGTATTGTTAATGTTAATGCTTATTTTTGTGCATTTTGTTAAGAGTTTTATTTCTGAATTTCAGAAGTTATTTTTAAAGTTATTGATGAAACAAGGACCAGTAAGTAGACTGGATGCAGTCAAAACTCCAGAAGATGGCAGTAATGCAGCTCTGCTGCTAAACAGCTCTTTAATACCAGGACCGTCAGCTTTAAAACAGGTGTTTATTATAAAATACTCACCCTGTCAGTATGTTTTTAAACTACTGAGTGTGACTTTTATGTTGTGGTTTATTAACAAAAGATTATTGGTTAATAAGTTTTATTATAAGATTAAACTCAGACACATACAGGATTATTGATATTTCACAGATAATTTCAACTACTGTGAATATTTCATTACAGTTTCATTCTGATCATGATTCGTTTCAGCCACAAACACTCCGAGGACGAGGACCTTCTGCAACGTGCTACCTGATGGTGACCTGCAGTCGAGAGGACAATAGAAGCTCCAGGTGTTTGTGGAACGTCAGAGCTTGTGTGTGTGTGTGACAGAGTGTGTGTGTGTGAGTGGTAGGTGAGTCTGTAACAGTAACTGGTCTGGCTCAGGTCAGGATGTGAGAACGTGTCCATGAGTTGAACCTGCTCCACCGTCCCTAAGCTGGCCTCTCGGATCGCTGCGTAGAACTTCTTCTCCTCCCACGATGGTCCAGTCCAGAAACTGATATCGAAGCTGAGGTAAGGTAGCGGGACTCGTGTTGCCATTGACCGCAGTCACCAATTCTTGTCATGTGTCTTGCCCATGTATGTCTGATCTCTGAATTGTGTGTACTGAAACTCAATTTCATTTCTCTGTATGTCTTGCACATGTGGTAGAAATGACAATAAATGACTTTGACTTTTGAAAGGCTCTGGGTGCAGAGAAAAAGGACAGAAGGGAGTCCCGGGAGGTGGGCCATGTGAACACTGTCTTATGAAACGTGGCTCGTGAGACCAAAGCAAACGCCAGTCAGGGAGTGAAAACAGGAGCACGGTGAGGAGGTCCAGGTTCAGAGAGACAGTGATGGTGACATGGCAACTATCAGCTACACTGCTTTGAAAAACCTCACCAACCATACCCAGTAGCTCTACTGTCAACTGCAGGCTTCTCTCCTCTGTTGCTACAGAGACTCTGTAGGGAGAAAGGAGTTTTTCCAGCCTACTTCTTAGTAATTTAATTGGCTCGGTGTCTGAAGGGAAAACACCTCTGAGGAGAAGCTATGTTCCTGAACACTACACCACTAATGCCAAAGAATGAGCTGATGGCACCATTACAACCCTCATCGTTTTTATTCTTTTCCCCTTCAGACCTCACATCTCTCCCCCCACTCCCCCCTGAAGCTGTGCTTCTTTTCCAGCCAGAAACACGTTCAGCTGAGGGAGCAATGACGGACGCAGCACATATAGACCGCTTTCCACTTCAGGGTGAACATCACTAGAGCACGCCGGCCATAAGCTCTTCAATATGTTAGAACAAATCTGATTTTCGTTTATTTTTCTAGTTTTAACACATTTTTGTTCCAATTTTCCTCCTGGCTGTGATTTTTTATGGACTGACATATTTGCTGAACGGGGCACCGCATCTCCTGCAGGAACAGCATCAGCCATCCTCAGCATCACGTCGCTGTTTAAGTTAGTAGTTTGTTAAATGCTGCAATCCCGCTCGGCCAAAATATATTGCATCTTTCTTTGACTCTGTTCTTTCACATATGTTTTGGAAAAAGTTTAGCAGTTTTGTTATTAAATTGGTGTTTCTCTTACTGCCTAAATGTTTTTGGGTTTGGGCCGGTGTGGATGGCATCACCGTCACAAACGCAGAACAACTGAAGTACAGAAGATGGATTAAGGATATGATAGCGACACGGAGACGTGGACCCACGACAACAAACAGGGAAGGAGTTTTTACACTGGACATGGTCATTGATGAGGATGTCGTAAGCGGCAGAGGGGGACATCGTCCCCTGCTGCCTGCAGATAAGGACGGAAGGTTTTTTTTAGCCAAAATCATAAAACCTGCGCCATTTTCTAGTACTTAGTTTCAACATAGTGGCAGTAGCTCATTAAAGAGTTTGAGGTCTGCCCAGTGGCTTTGTGATGTAGCAATGCCAGTAAATATTAGACTGAATTTTTTGTCTGTTACTGAATCACAGTGATTTGAATGCAGAAATACTCAGAAATGCAATTATGAACTTAAATTTCTTTAGATATGTCCTGAAGCATAAGAAAAATGCACAATTTTCATTAGAGTGGGTCTTTAATATAAAAAAAAATTCTGGTTTACTTCTGCTAAATTATACAGATGTTCTCCACTCAGAGCTGTAGCTGTCCAGGTGGAGGTTGTCATGGTGACTTGGAAGCACAATCTGATCCAGGCTGTTCAGCATCTGGAGATTATCCAAATAAAACAAAGACAAGGAGTCTTTACTTCAGTCCACCGTGAACAGCATCTCTTTCACAACACTCATTAATGTCTTCTATGTACATTTGGTCTCTCACAACAAGAGCCCTCGTGATTAAAGTCCTTGTCCTTAAAGCTGCCTTTTCAGCTTTCATCGTAGGTAATACTCGATGGCAGCAGAGAATGCAGCAAAGCCTCCACATCCAAGGACCCCAGCTTTCAGGCCAGCTGCAAAGAAATATGATCAAAAGATTTCACAATACTTTCAAATGAATACAGCAAGTTTCAGCATGAAATATCCCAAAAGCAGGCTACAAACCACGAAATCCTATGGCTCCTCCAGTTACACAACCACTGTATACTGCATTTTTCCAGTCGGATTTGCCTCTGTGCTGCAAATAAAACACAAAACTGTTAGGTACTTGTGCTTTTGAGGCACAAAAAACCACTCAGAAACAGATGAGAGGCCCCAGTGGTCATTTGAACCAGCATGATGCCAATTATGCTCCTTCAGTGACAGGCTGCTGCATCCTAAATGCAGAAAGGAGCGTTCTCACAGGTCCTTCCTCCCAGCAGCTGTTGGACTTTATAACCAACACTGCTCCCAACAGCCTGCTTAAGTGTTTTTCTTGTTATTTGTCTGCTGTTATTTGCACACTGATCGAAGCAATAACCCCTTTTCAGGTTTTGCCTCCGTGACACAGAATCTGAGTCCAACATTGGATGATTGTACATTATTCCATCTCTAGTCTCATGCTGCTATTATAACATCTTATATAATACTTTTGTGTCATTACTAAATCCTTGTTGTAAATAATTTACAATCTATCTATCTATATATATATATATATATATATATATATATATATATATATATATATATATATATATATATATATATATATATATATATATATTCAATTCAAATTCAAAAATACTTTATTAATCCCAGAGGGAAGTTAGAGTTTCAGTACACACAATTCTGACATCAGAATATGTGTGTGTGTGTGTGAGTGAGTGAGTGAGTGAGTGAGTGAGTGAGTGAGTGAGTGAGTGTGTGTGTGTGTGTGTGTGTATCTGTTCTCTTCTTAACTTACTTGTAACTTTGCTCTTGGTGCACCAGAATTTCCCCAATGAGGGACAATAAAGGGCTTTATTATTATTATTATTAATTTGGTTTTTCACATATTCAACAGCAGAGGGCGCTGTAAGACCTGTGAATGATGTATTAGAAAACAGCAAAACAAACAAATCTCTTTTTCTAAGGAAAAATAAATAAAATCTTACAACATAAAAGGTTTTTGGAAAGGTTGGGATGTGTATTATGCACATGTTTATTTAGTTTTATCAACCCACTAGTGTTCAGCCTCTGGAAAAGTTTTATAAACAAAGGTTTCCAGAGTTTCAGTAATATTTTTTGACATTTCGGTACATCATAAATGTTTTTTTAACTGGTTTATCCCTTTGTCTTGAGCTCTTCACCATCCTTCCTTCAGACATAAGCAGCCTCAGCCAAGACAAGGTTGAGAAACATAGTATTCCCTGGGTTTTCCTCTGTACCACAATATGATTTTAAGTGTTTATTATGTGACTGAATGCCAATAAAATGAGTGTTAGTCTGAATAATGTCTGTGACTTACTGATTCAATGATGCACTCTGTACAGGAGAACATGGCACCAACGATGGCAAAGTTCTTGGCGTAAGACATCCCTCTCTGACCCATGTCTTTAAGGACTTCTCGAGCTGTTGGAGTTCTCAGAGGGTCTTTGGGGTCAAAGCCAACATTGGTATCGATCCCAGCTGTGAAAACACCAAATGCTCCACCGAGGACAAACCCTGGAAAGATAAAGCATCAGTATCCAGTTTAGAAAGTACAAACATTTACTGTCGTTAGGATAAATAACATACACAAATAGCACAGCTTTGAGCTAGGAGATAATTGGGTATCAATAAAAACCCAAAAAAACAAGACTAATGTGGGAAATTGTGTAAAATCAACAATGCAAAACCTTAGCATACCACTCTGTGGTGATCCCTTAAATACCTTTAAGTACCTGGGTGTTCACCTGAACTGAACTGCTCCAACAACACCGATGCTCTGTATAAGAAGGGCCAAAACCGCCTCCACCTCCTGAGGAGGCTGAGGTCCTTTGGTGTTCATTCCCTTATCGCTCTATTGTTGGCTCTGTGATCCACTCTGCTATGGTCTGTTGGGGTGCAGGCAGCTCTGATCGAGACAGGAAGAGACTTAACAAGCTAGCTTCGTTCTGGGTTGCTAACTAGATTCAACTAAGAAAATGTGTGAAAGGAGGATGCTGGCGAAGATGACCTCCATCTTGGAAAACCCTTCCCACCCACTGCATTCCACTGTGGAGGCCATGGACAGCTCCTGCAGTGAAAGGCTGAGACGTTCAAGATATAAAACAGAACGTTACCGTGGGTTGTTTGTCCCCTCTGCGGTAAGAGTGTATAACTCCACCGTTTAACTGGTACTGGCATTATCCTGTTACACAATAACATAGTAAATGCAATATTCAGTATGTGTGAATGTGCAATACCTGATGTACATTATTATGTCTGTATCCCTTATGCTGCATAGTTCTGGAAACCCAGGTTTTCTTTTTATTCGTTGTTTTTAGTGGTTAAAGGTTACAATAATAGCTCGTTTCCTTTGTATGTTTACCTGTAACCTTATTATATATATTCTTCCTTTTCTCTAAGTGTATGTGCTGCTGAAAGTCTATTGTATTCCATTAGATAGATATTCATATCAAAACCAGCTGAGAGGTAAAGGTTTGATTATTTCTAATTCTAAAAATGGCTTCTATAGAAAAAAACTTCAAAAAAAGTTGTACAATATTGTGATCAGCTTAAACGTAAGAAAACTGTACGTTTGAGCTCGATTTTATGTGTAGTTGTTTACCTCCCACACAAGCCAGGATGGACTTGAAGGCGCAGCTCTCCATGCCCTTCTCTATCATCTTCTGCTCGTTGCTTTTCGGAGGCGTCGGCAGTCCCCCCATAACACCGGGGCTCAAGTCTTTAATTTGCCTTTTTTCACCTATAAGATGTTCCAGAACCATACTGTACTGAATTGTTGAACTATCCATTGTGGAATCGGCTGAAACTGGGCTGTTTGAGCCCAAAGAGGCAGTGTTGGTTCCACCAGTGGACGCGGCCATATTTCTCAATGGCACCGCTTTAGGTAAGTGTAGTCCAAAACCACGCGTCTGTTGATTCGTCACATTACTCCGCGAGCGGAAGTGATTATATTTCGTTTGAATCATGGTTTAAATGAATAAATATGTATCTAACACGTTTAGCAACACCAAAAGTAACATTTATGACTATTACATCTTACTTAATGAAAAAGATATTTTTTTGCGAATCGTTAAATTCAAAACTGAGTCCACAAGTTTTATTTATTTATTTCTTTTAATTGTTACCACAAACATTACATTTTAATTGGAAGATTCCGTTAAAATGTATATAAAGGTATACTGTTGACGTTTTCAATAATAACTTCATAAACCATTTCTGTTATGTATGCAGTCTGTTCGCCAGGTCATGTTTGTAAATGAGAAGTAGCTCTCAAACAATTTAACTGAATAAATAAAGGTTAAATAAATAAAATAAAAACATAATAACACACAACACAATTTTAAACCAATAGTAATTTGGTGTAACCGTGCATCAACTACATGACTACATTTCCCACAATTCCATTCGAACTTTGGTGCAAAGCGCCCGCACGCGCGCAGCGCTCCACCTACTGGCTCCACAACAGGCAGATGGTGACACTTCAATGACTCGCCGAGTCGGCAGCAGCATCTTCACACAACATCAAGACTGCCGCATTAGCGAACAGGTGAGGTAGAGCTACCGGCTACAGACTCGTGTATTTCTATTATTTTACCACAATTCCTCTTTGTAGTTTGTTGACGTGAAGCACATTACTTTAATTTCAATGCTGCTTGTGTTGTCTCGATGGAGGAAGCGGCCGGAGTTGGTCGGGATGAGTTGATTTAGCCAAAGTGACTGTCGACAGCTTGCTTGTTTACGTCGTTAACGTTTCTACTTAATTAGTGGACTTCCTGGATAATTATGACGCAGACACGTCTCTGTTTTTACAGAAGCTTTCACTGAATTTGCTCAAGGACACAGTGCAGCTTTCACTAAAACGGAACATGTGATGTTCAGCAACAGAAAGTGTTTTAAATATGCACCTCCAGGGGATTATTTTCAATTTTACATGATTACAGATAATTATCATAATACTTGATGTTTGATCTAATCCAACCTAATCGATTCAAATTTAAGTTTCTTTATGTGCGAAGCCTAAGTGCCTCAAGGAAGTGGTTTTATTATTGCAAGATTCTGATAAAAGAGTGTAGAACTTCTTATATTTCTGCTGCGATATTTTTTATGTTTATTTTAGAGTTCACAGTTTTATTATATAACATCGTTACCAGGTTAAAAGTTCACTAAAGCTTTTAGTCAAATTAAAACTTTAAAATCTTTTAAGTTTTCTTTAAAAAGCTTTTATTCAGGCAGACTTCACTTTTAGATTTTAATAACTGATGAGATTAGATGTGCTGTGTTAGGTTTGAGGTAAACCTGGTGTGTGCCATGTTCAGGCTGCCAATTCTTCCCAAGTAGAGCAGTTTCTTTGTGATGTGGCGAAACAAGGTGCTGTGGTTAGTGTGGCTAACATTTTATAGTTTCTGTCTTTAATAGGTCCTTAAATGCGTCATTAAGACAAGCTGTCCTGACTAAGCAACAAAAAGTGATTCTACTCCCGCCACGCAGCCTTCAGCGTTACCTGTCATTACATCAAACACTGATAGTGAATGTTACATATATTATTTGTGTGTTGGGGTTTGTTTGTTTGTTTTGATGCACTCAAATGTTGATTTCTGTCAAAGATGACCAGATTTACAACAAATGCAGTTTCAAATGATGATTTTGTGCATTAATAGGGAGAAAGGACCCTATGGGCCATTCCCATCTGTACCGGGTCGGCCCGGGCCGGGTAGCCCCAGTCGGCCCCAGCCTGGCCCGGTTGATTCCACACATCCTTGCCTTAAGCCCATGTGGGCTGATTCTACCCACCAATCAGAGGCTTGCTCTAATGAAAGGTGTGAATTTGCTGTCAGCAGTGGGTGTGTTGGCCCTGGTCGGCCTGAAGCAGACCCCCTCGAGAAGAGGGCTGAGAATGTGCCTTGGTTGGCCCGGAAAAATACCAGGCCACCCAGATATGTAAACAACCTACGCTACCCGGCCCGGGCCGACCCGGTACAGATGGGAATGGCCCACTAGACTCTAGAACTGATTTCCCCATCTTGGGAGCAACAACTGCAGTCAAGCGTTTGTGATCATTGGTCTTTCATAAAGGACATGTGGCTCATTTGTCTGTAGGATTGATTTAATGCAGACACATTAAGAGGTGGGGGTGGGGGGTCCTTTTCACATCTGTTTAAGATCAATGGCTACATTTTTTCCTTCAAGTATTTACAGAAAGTGGTCCAGGTCCTGAAGCAGCAAAGCAGCCTCAGACCATCACACTATACCGCCACCATGTTTGGCTGTTGGTATTAGGGCTGGAATATCCTTGAATTTAATCATGTGGTGTACGCGTGTTTATTGTGGCTGCCTTGTGTAATTAGCTTCTTTTTTTTTAAGCGTAGATTGTGCAAGTCTTCTAAAATTAACGCAACACGCTTGCAAGCTGCAATATGCGAGTAACTAGAAGGGGGAGTTGACAAAACAATTGAAACGTTATCTCTGGTTTAGAGGTCTTTAATACTGTCTACGATACCGCTGCGATTTTTTTTCTGTCATGATTTTAAAATTAACCAATTACTGATCTCTTATGACTCCATGTTTGTTTTGGTTGTACACACTGGCTAAGTGGGATTGAGGAGCTCCTCAAAATATTCCTTCCACCGTCCGACTATAGCCCCAGTTGACGTCAGCAGCTCCCCATCCCCACTGTAAACAGTGTGAGCGAGTTGCTGCCTTCCTCTCCTGAGGCGCCGGACAGTTTGCCAGAACCTCTTTGTAGCCGATCGATAGTCTTTCTCCATGGCCTCACCAAACTCCTCCCACGCCCGAGATTTTGCCTCGGCAACTGCCACTGCTGCACCCCGCTTGGCTATCCGGTACCTGTCTGCTGCCTCCGGAGACCCACAGACCAGCCACGCCCTGTAGGCCTCCTTCTTCAGCCTGACGGCTCCCCGAACCTCTGGTGTCCACCAGCGGGTACGGGGGTTGCCACCACGACTGGCACCGGCCACCTTACGACCACAGCTAGCAACAGCCGCCTCGACAATCGCAGAGTGGAACAAGGCCCACTCGGACTCAATGTCCCCCACTGCTCTCGGGACGTGGTCAAAGCTCTGCCGGAGGTGGGAGTTGAAGACCGTCTTGACAGGTTCTTCTGCCAGGCGTTCCCAGCAGACCCGCACTATGCGTTTGGGTCTGCCAGGTCTACGCGGCATGTTCCCTTGCCATCTGATCCAACTCACCACCAGGTGGTGATCAGTTGACAGCTCCGCCCCTCTCTTCACTCGGGTGTCCAAAACATACGGCCGCAGGTCAGATGATACGACTACAAAATCTATCATCGACCTGTGACCTAGGCTGCCCTGGTACCAAGTGTACCGGTGGGCATCCTTATGTTCGAACATGGTGTTCGTTATGGCCAAACTGCGGCTTGCACAGAAGTCCAATAACAAAACACCGCTCGAGTTCTGATCAGGTGGGCCGTTCCTCCCAATCACACCCCTCCAGGTCAAGCTGTCATTGCCCACGTGAGCATTGAAGTCCCCCAGCAGGACAATGGAGTCCCCTGATGGAGCACTATCTAGCACTCGTCCCAGGGACTCCAAAAAGGGTGGGTACTCTGAACTGATATTTGGCCCATAAGCACAAACAACAGTCAGGACCCGTTCCCCGACCCGAAGGCGCAAGGAAGCTACCCTCTTGTCCCCCGGGGTAAACCCCAACACACAGGCAGAGAGTCTCGGGGCTAACAAAAAGCCAACCCCAGCCCTCCGCCTCTCACCCGGAGCAACTCCAGCAAAGTAGAGTGTCCAACCCCTCTCCAGGTCTCGGGTTCCAGAGCCAATGCAATGTGTCGAGGTGAGTCCGACTATATCTAGCCGGTACCGCTCAACCTCTGCCACAAGCTCCGGCTCCTTCCCCGCCAGCGAGGTGACGTTCCATGTCCCAAAAACTAGTTTTCTTGTCCGGGGATTGGACCGCCAAGGCTCCCGCCTTGGTCTGCCACCCGATTCGCATTGCACCGGACCCTTCATGTTCCTCCTGCGGGTGGTGGGTCCACAGTTGGACGAGCCCATGTATCCGGTTCGGGCTGGGCCCGGCCGGGCCCCATGGGCGAAAGCCCGGCCACCAGGCGCTCGCTCACGGGCCCCAACCCCAGGCCTGGCTCCAGGGTGGGACCCCGGTAACCCTCCGGGCCGGGTACTCCGACTCTTCGTTTTAACCGCCATGAAAGATCCTTCGAACCGTTCTTTGTCTCACCCTTCACCTAAGACCAATTTGTCATGGGAGACCCTACCAGGGGCACCAAGTGCCCCAGACAACATAGCTCCTAGGATCATTAGGGCACTCAAACTCCTCCACCACGATAAGGTGACGGTTCAAGGCTATGGATGTTGTAGGGCTGTCATGGTTGACACGTCTCTACAACATTGCGTGGTCATCGGGGGCAGTTCCTAGGGAGTGGCAGACCGGGGTGGTGGTCCCCATCTTTAAGAAGGGTGACCTGAGGGTGTGTTCCAACTATAGGGGGATCACACTCCTCAGCCTCCCTGGAAAGGTCTACTCCAAGGTACTGGAGAGGAGGGTCCGATCGATAGTTGAATCTCAGATAGAGGAGGAGCAATGTGGTTTTCGTCCTGGCCGTGGAACTGTGGACCAGCTCTATACCCTTGCAAGGGTGATGGAGGGGGCATGGGAGTTTGCCCAACCAATCCACATGTGCTTTGTGGATTTGGAGAAGGCTTATGACCGTGTCCCCAGGGGCACCCTGTGGGGGACGCTCCAGGAGTATGGGGTGGGTGGCTCTCTGTTAAGGGCCATTCAGTCCCTTTACCAGAGGAGCGTGAGTTTGGTCCGCATAGCCGGTAGTAAGTCGGACCTGTTCCCAGTGAGGGTTGGACTCCGCCAGGGC